GGGGGACGGGGTCGCTCGCTCTCCCAGCTGAGAGTTTAGCACCAAGCTCCTATGGAGGATTGGTTTTCCCTCCACGTGGCTTTAAAGGCTGACAAGCCTCCGGCCATAGGGACCGGCCCCGTTTTTGGCACGGCAGCGATGCCGCGAGCACCCTTGGCGTGGGGTTGGGGGGACCAGGGCTCCCTCCCCGGCGGGGGCCCACGGGGGAAAAGGCTCCTTGGTGTGTCTGCAGGGAGCAAATACCGGCCCCGGGAAGGCCCCAAAGGATAAAGTGCCTTTCAACACCCTAAAGAACACGTCAGCATCACCCGTTACAAACAGCGTTATACTCTAATGCAGACCTAGTACAGACAACAGCTGGTAACACAGTGCCATGGAGAGCATATATAAATAGAGACTAACAAAAATACTGTTTTGGTCTTTTTTTCTCTTTTTTTTTTTTTTTTGTGTTTTTTCTTTTTTTTTCCTTTTTCCAGTAGGGTTGCGATGGCATGAGAGCAGAGCCCAGGTGCCCCGGGGGCGGCGGGACCAGGAGCTGCCCTCCTCGGGGGAGCCCGTGGGAATGGGCACTTCCTAATTCAGCATTAGGTGTTCAGTGATTCGCATCACCGTTCCAGTATTTTATGAGAGAAGCAGAAGAAGAAGAAAAAAAAAAAACAAAACCAAAACCGACCAACCAAACCCAAAAAACCCCCAAAGGTACTGAGCAAATACCACTGTGCAAAGTTTGCTAAGGAACTTTTCTATTCTGTAAACCAAAATCTGCAGTTTATGCTTCCAGCCGCCGCCCCAGGGAGGTTGCATCGCCCAGCCGGGCTCCTGCGGGGACCACAGCCCACCGGCGCTGGAGGTGGGCTGGATGAAGCCCCTCACCCGGCACGGGCTTGCTCTGCGTGTCCCCCCCCGCCATCCCCTCCCAGGCACAGCGGCAGGACCGGCGCCCCCCGGGCTGCACCCACCCTTGTGGTCTCGGATGCTCCTCCAGAGCCAGAAGCAGGAGGAGGGGGAGAGGGATGTGAGGAGCACAGGGCTCCATGAGATGAAAGGCTGAGGCTTTCCAGACGGGATCACCCTAAAAAAATCATTTCCAGGTGCATGGCGGGGGGGTGGGTTGGTTTGCTGGCCCTTCCGCGGGGACACGTGCCGGCACACGCCAGCCCCGTCCCCAGGGATGCTGCGATATGTAAGGT